CGCCCATCTCCCCCTCCCCCAGCCCATACCTCTCCGCAATCCCAGTCCTTCACTTTTCCTTTCTTCTCTCACCTCGACGCTCCTCTCTTTGTTACAACCATCCACTCTTCTCTCCATTCTCTTCCTGATTCTCATCGATGACTAACGGTGTATGGAGGATGGATGATGAACAAAAATTGAACCCCCGCATCAGTTGGCGCGCTTTTCTGGCCAATATGAAGGTTCCGCGTGACTATGGGGGGATCACCCAGCCCCAAACAAAGAGGTCAGAAATCCCCTCCGTATTTCTTCTTTATTAATCAGGGCTATTTTTAGCTTAACAGGCTTCGTCTCTCAGTCGAGTCACAGCGAGCAGCTCGACAGGATGTGGGGAGCGAGCGCATGCGGTTTTTTCCTCCTCCCCCTTTCTGTTTTCATCATGGTTCTCAACTCTCTTCGTGCTCAATTTTCTCACGTTTTTTGGATTACAAATACCCCCAAGGAGCCTTAAAAAGCTCACTTGGTTCGAGGAAGTGGATATCTATATGTGTGAGAGTGTTTGCATCTTTTTTCCCCAGCACTTTTCGTTGTTTTCTGTGGTACCCATGTCGTGTTTATATTATCAAGCGAAGTTTCCCATTCATTGTAAAGATGCTTTTTCTTCTTGGAATACTTTTTGCCACTGGATACAATTTCTCGGATTATGCATCATCATTTCTAAAACCTGGATACTCTGCAAGCTGTGTTGTGTTTTTACTTCAATTAATTGTTTTTTCGCATGGATATAATATCGTTAGCAGTTTCCCATGGATTACATTACTTGCTTTGGAATTTATTTTAACAGGTAAGAAAATGAGTTCAGTAATATGATGGGTCCCTGCCTCTCATTGTTATTATTGTTGGAGTGTTTTCTGTGCATTAACTTATGCTGACTACAGTTTTCTACTTTTAACATTATCATGTTTTGTATTGAGCCATCGAAACACTGGCCAACAATGTGACTGCGACAATGAATAACAAAGAAGCCTCGTGGTGGAAATACTCAGAAAAGACTGGGGTTGCCTTTAGGTACTTTCCCAGTCCTTTTTTGAGTAAACTCCCTCAAACTCATGATAAAACACTGTCTAAAGACTTTTGACGTGAGTTATGAGCGTTTATA